AAGAAAGCTCTGTTAGGTCAGACTAAGGTTTGTGGAGTTGGAACAGTCACTTCAATGTGGTAGGCCTATAAATGGGTCTTTCCCTGTTATTTCTCAGCAGCAGCAGATCTTAGAGGTATACTTCTTCAACACAGAGGCCCCGTTTAACTATCATGAGTGTCTCAGACTCCCTTTTAAATGCCATTTAGTCTAGTGGCCCTCATGTACACTATAATGTGTGTTTTCATCCAGAGGCTAACATGTAAGGGAGTGATGGTGGTTATTGCCTTCCCTTTTTGTTAGTCCCAGCATCTGTTTATTAGAGGTACATTAAACATGAAGTCAAAACGTTTTAGTTGTGTTGGGAATTTGGGTAACTTAAGGGATCTGTCGAGCCAGCATGGTATAGTTTCAGTGTTGGACTAGGACTCCCAAGAGACCAAGATTTGGATCCCTGCTGGGCCACAGAAGCCCACTAGAGGCCTTTACAAACTGCCAGAAATAATGCAACTTGAGGCCACTTTAACTGTCTTTGCTCAGTTTATTGTGGCACCAGAGCTCTCCCAACAGAGAAGGCTCAATGTCCCAGAAAAAAAAAAAAACAATTCCTATGATTCCCTAGCACTGAGCCAGGACAGTTAAAGTGGCCTCAAGCTGCATTATTTCTGGCAGTCTGTAAAAGCTCTAGATGACCTTAGGCAAGTCGCAAGCAGCCTAAGAGGAAGGCAATGGCATAACTCCTTTGAGTAAATCTTGCCAAAAACCGTGTGATAGGAGGTTGCCATATATCGAAGGCACATAACAAGGGGTATATGCTTAACCCATAGATAACTGGGTGATGCTACTTAGTACAGCATATGTAAGAAACTTAATGTTTCTTTATCTGTCTGTAAGCTATTCTTGCCAGAGCTGCCCACATGAGCAGTATCTACAATATATTAACCAGCACTGAACACTTGTATAAATCTTTTGTTTTTAAACAGACGAAGAAGAGAAGGAATAACGGCCGTGCCAAGAAGGGCCGTGGGCATGTCCAGCCTATTCGTTGTACCAACTGTGCCCGCTGTGTCCCCAAGGATAAGGCTATTAAGAAATTTGTCATCCGCAACATTGTAGAGGCAGCTGCAGTCCGAGATATCTCTGAAGCAAGTGTCTTTGACTGTAAGTACTTTCTACCACCACATATTAGTTTTATCATTCTGCAAATGGTGAGACAGAAAATTAAAGCATTAAGATGTGTGAGTGATTTTCCCAGATAAATGGGCTGCACACAGGAGCCGCCAGACTGGGAAGACCCAATCTCCTCTTACCCCATCTCTATTTAAAAACAATAAATTATCCCAACATCTTCCAGGGGCAGCAGGGGATAATTTTGCAAGGTTTTCCCTCTCCCCAGACCCTGAAAAATTAGGGGCAGTAACAGAAATAGAAACCAAATGGAAGGCAAGCTCTAAGCTATAATTTGTTTGCAAAGTTTATTTGGCAGAATGAGAAAAGAACATTTATCTTGATCTGAAATTTTTTGGGTTAGTGTAATCTGAGATCTTATGAAGACATTTCCTTTAGCCACCATAGCTCTAAAAGACACAAACAGGAATGATATTTGTGTGGATAAGATAGTAGATCCAGTTGTCAATGATAGTAGATCCATATGTTGGATGTTTAATGTGTTTTCTCTCTGGTTTTAAGCTACTGAGAACTTTTAATTCCCCCCCCCCCCTTAATTCAGTTTGCTTTGGAAAGCTCTAAGAGGATTATGTAAGTGCACCCACAGGGAAGTGTACAAGAATTATCTTAGGAGATAATATGACTGTGGCATTGTAGTTTGAATATTGGACTACAACTCTGGAGACCAGGGTTCAAGGGTTTGAATCTTGGCTCAGCCATGAAATCCACTGGGTGACCTTGGATAAATCACACTCTCTCAGCCTCAGAGGATGGCAATGACAAACCCCCTCTGAAGAAACTT